AAAAAAAAAAAAAAAAAAAAAAAAAAAAAAAAAAGGCCAGGAGCTTACCTCATGGTTACTCAAGGTTAGCTCCCCCCACCGGTAAAATGTGTTCATGCCAAGAAAGCACAAACCTCAGAAACCTGACTAGCCACTAATGTGCTTTCTAACCATGGATGGATGTACCACCAGTGGGTCCTCCTCAGTTTAAGAAGCCAGGTCTTTTACCATGGTAACTCCAGGTTAGGCCCCACTGGGGCATAGTCCATGGTAGTATATCAGTTATGCCATGTGGTGGGTGCCTACTCCACCCAGCAAGTCCAGTCAAACAGAGATTACGACTCAAGTAGTGGTGATACGGGTACTTTTACAGACTGCACGCCACTGCAGACGATTCAGCCTCCTGCTGAGGCAACGAGGATTTGAATAGACAGTCCGTCACAACCCCGGTTTTTTTTTTACTATCCTTTTCTCCTTGTAAACATCGGGAGTTCACTTCGGCTACACCAGAGGAACTATGACGTACTACATTGCCAAACTCCGCGACGTACTCGCCAACGGGACTGCATTATCCTCTGCCACTCATGCTTCAGGTCATAATCAAAGTCAAAAGCACCCTCGACTTAAGCCAAAAGTATGTCCCATTTTCCGACAATCGGGAAACCAATTCGATCTACGGTCTGAGTCTGCTCCAGGGTGTCAGTGTCCCAGCCTGGTCCAGAGTCCCATTTTCCGACAATCGGGAAACCAAAACCACCCTTGACTCAATCTCGTACAGAGTCCCATCTTCCGACAATCGGGAAAAGAATTTGATCCCGGCCTGGTCCAGGGCCCCATTTTCCGACAATCGGGAAACCGATTCGTACATAGTCCCAGCCTGGTACACAGTCCCATTTTCCAACAATCAGGAAAACGAAAGCACCCTTGACTCGATCTTGTACAGAGTCCCAGCCTGGTACAGAGTCCCATTTTCCGACAATCTGGAAACCAATTCGATCTACGGTCTGAGTCTGCTCCACGTCCCAGTGTGGTCCATAGTTTAAGTCTCAGCCTGAGCCCCAGATCTAAGTCTGGTCCAGGGTCTCAGTCTGGTCCAGGGTGTTAATGTGCTCCAAGTTTTCTGGACCAGGGTCTCAATCTAGTACAGAGTCCCAGCCTGGTCCAGGGTCTCAGCCTGACAGTCTTAGTCTGCTCAGGGGTCTGGTCCGAGGTCTCAGTCTGGCCCAGTGGCCTCACTCTCGCCCAGGGTGTCTTCAGCCCCGTCCAGGGTCTCTTCGTCCCGGTCCAGGGTCTCAGTCTCGACTAGAGTCTCAGCCTGATCCAGGATCCCATTCCGGCCAGGGTCTCAGTCTAGTACAGAGTCCCAGCCTGGTCCAGGGTCTCAGCCTGAATCCACAGTCTCAGTCCGCTCCGGGGTCTAATCAAAGGTCTCAGTCTGGCCCAGGGGACTCAGTCTCGCCCAGGGTCTCGTCAGCCCCCTCCAGGGTCTCTTCGTCCCGGTCCAGGGTCTCAGTGTAAACCAGAGTCTCAGCCTGGTCCAGGGCCACAGCCAGGTCCAGGGTCTTAGCCTGGTCCGACGTCTCAGCCTGGTACGCCGCCGGTTTGGTGGTGTTCCCTGACCTCTATCTTGCAAATGGGAAACCAGTGTGGGAGCTTCCTCAGCGAACCTTGCAAAAATTCGGTGTGCATGGGTACATACTCATACTAGGCGTTTTCCAACTGAGTTTCTCGACGTATTTGTGGTCAGATGCATTCAGAGAGGACTGTAATTGCAGGCATATACATCCACAAAAGTTGCAGTGTCTGATTGAACAAACTATGCTCTCACTCGATGCATGTTGGAGTAACGCACACCAGCACACAGAGGCCAACGAACACATTCGCCCTGGGACTGTTTTTCACTAAGCTCGGGACGTGATTGCAGTCAGATTCGTCAACGACTGACCGTAAGTGAAGCCGGATACATTTACGAAAGCGCTGGTGTGAGTAATGCCCTCCATCGCAAAGAATCAACAGAAGAGGTGAAACCAGATGAGCACATGGCTACCTTCTTCCTCCGCATACAACGCATGGTCGTTATAGCTCTATTTGGGGTAGTCTTTCAGTCTAAACACAGCTATAACGACTGTACGTTATATTCGGGGGAAGAAGGTGGTATCTACCCTAGAAAAACGGAGAGAGAATGATGAAGGGTGAACAGCCAGGGGAGATGAGAAGTCGAAAACCGAGTGTTTGCTTTCTCCTTTTTCTTGCAGATGCTGAAGAGAGCTGTCTTGTTACGGACTTCGCCAGGGCTCGATCCCTGGTCTATCTTTTGCTGTTTCGGCCGCATCCCGTTTTCGGCCTGGCACCCCTTTTCCAAACCCCTCCTTTTGGTACCGTAGGATTTTGGACAACTGGCGCCATGCTGCRATTCGGGCGCCACTTTCAAATACTGCATTTTTCAGTTCTGCCCTCGGGGCCTTTGCAGAAATGCCCCTGGTACCGTACGTG